GCGCGCTAAGGGGCGTGGTTCGGCCCGACGCGAAGCGCACTAAGGGGCGTGGTTCGGCCCGACGCGAAGCGCGCTAAGGGGCGTGGTTCGGCCCCTTATATTAGACAGAGAGCGTTGATCCATTATTTGGCTGTTTATTTACATTCATGTGTATGTTGCTGTTTATTGTGCAGCCACTGAAAAACTGTCCAGCATCAGTAGCATGGCTTACGTGGTCACTAGGTTGAGGTTGTTCGAGGCTGTTGCTTGGCATGGCGAGAATATTGCTCCACTTTCTCCGGTCCCCGAGATTGGGCTTCCAGTAGCTCTGGAGAGAGCTTTCGCACCTGTGGCCACTAACGGTCATAATTTCTCTGCTTTGTTTCAAGACCCGCATCAGAAAGCTTTTGAATGGTGCTACTTTTCCAGTTGGTCTACCTGCTCTTCACGTAGCTCTGCATGTCGTCGGTTAGGTGCTTTCTGGAGATAGGAACTGCTCAATCCACTCCTCCATAGTAAGGCCACCCCGGAGGTCCAAGTTAACCCGTTTCCATCTTAAGCTTTGTTAGTTAGTTAGTTTCGTAACGGACGTAATGTAACAGCTGTAACGGTTGTAGCTTTTTCTCAGACGCGGAGGGATACTGACTTGTTGTGGAAAGTAACTACAATTCTACCCGTGATACACGCTCATTATATCACGGCTAAGAACCAATCAGATTGCTTGATTTGACTTGTTTTATAAATGTAAATAGAATAGGATATGTACAATAACAGAATAGGAAATAAAATAATGTAAATGAAGACTAAATTAAATATGACCGAGTCAGTTTAATTTGATAACCCATAAGGCGTGGGCAAAACCCGAGTTAGTTTGCGTCGTAAGGCATCTCGGGGTCATGGGAGTTGCATGAACGCAGGACTCACCCTCTGCAGCTCAGCCTCGGGGTCGGGGTGACCTTCAGCCAGCAGCCTCTGTCTGATCTCCTCATGCTCCTCCTTCTCCCTCTTCCTGTCTCTATCGTCCAGCTCCGTCTCCTTTTCTCTGTCACGGAGTCTCTTCTGCAGAGCGCTGCCCCTGAGGACGAGAAGCAGAGCTCAAACAATGAAGACTTTACATTTTTGTTTTAGCTGCTTTTCCATTTATTTATTTGTATATTTTTTGTTTGCCTGTTTTTGGAAATCTGTCTGTGTGGGATTCTGTTTGCCCTGGGGTTAAGCAGTATTAAGTTACTCTACCTATTTGTCTATAAAGTGAAGATTTGATATATGCTCTGATAGAATAACTGTATGCTGTTGAAAAAACCAAATAAACAAAGTTTGAAAAAACCAAAAAACACGCTCACGCTTCTAAATAAGCTTGAGGATATTTACCTGTAGTATTTAGGGTCGTCTCGGTCGTCGTCGTAATCTTCAAGGAACTCTTTCAGCCTTTTGGCTTCTTTCATCTGAATTCAAACACAATAATAGTTATCTTCATACATTCTTTACACATCACGTCGTCAACATCACGTTACACTGTTAAACACCTGAACCTCCATAACATTCATCTGTTTGCAACTCGTATATATCAATATTCCAATGCCTTGTATAAACACTATTCTGCACTATTTCTATTCTATTTGATTGTGTTGCACTGTTGGAGGAGCCTGTGACCTAAGATCGTCATGACTACACTGTAGCTATGCACGCATGACAATAAAAGCCTTGAATCTTTAATAACACATCGTCTGACACCAGCGTTTCCGCCAGGGGCGCGTCTTGCCGTCATTTGACGCCCTTATTCAGCTCGGACCGCCCTGAACTCGAGCCGAGGGCATCCAAAAATTAATAATAATTCGAGAGAAGATCGAGTTTTTATCGCTTGAAATGACGAAAAGGAAAAAGGACAAGGACATCCCTCTGTTGGAGGGGCAAAGGAGTCTGGTGGGATTCTTTTAGCCGCCAGCGAAGCGTGTGCCTGTGACGGAAAGTGTACTGCCGGCGAGCCTTGACGGGGGGGGGTGCTAGTGGAGCACGCGCGTGAACTGCGAAATCCCATCACTAACACGTAAAGAGATAGTATCTATAAGGACGGCTCGATTCAAAATTCAAGTCACGTGACACGATGTGATGTGACGTCACACCCACCCCCCAGCTCTCGGGTTGGATGCCCTCTCAGCCCTGGTCTGGTGGAAACACTGCTTTACAGTACGTTTACCAGATAAGGGAATGACAATAAACATCAAGTAATTTTTCTTCCAATTCATTCCATTTAATTCCCAAGCCTCAGTTTCTCCTTCGAGGATACAAGGACTACTTTATTATCATTCTGCAACACAAGGTTGAACAACA